AGTTGTTGCAGAGAAAAACTTGTGCATGTAAGGGAGTGCAAAGATTACCTTATAAATACAGAAGACCTCGTGTTTTAGGTAAATGTGTACCATGGTTTTTCAAGGGCAGTTTTTTGAGATAACTGGGGTGCCTGCTTATGTTACATTTTTTAGTTTAGCTCTTAAAAAAACATTATTATTAATAGTTGCACTAAAATCAGCTTTGATGTGATGAGGAGACCTTCATTTTACACTTATGGCATCTCCCATGGTCTCATATGATAGGACAGAGTCACATAGGGCAAAGAGAATTTGCACCTTAGCACAGAGTTAGCAAAAAAAAAAAAAAAAAAAAAAATCACCACATACTTCTTTCCCCAAACATTTCAACAACCAACATCACAGGTTCCTTTTAAAGAGGGTGCTGGCTGATGAGCAGAGTGCATTCAGTGAAGCAGCAAGGGGTAATAAACCCTTGGGAATGGAGGAGGAGGTGGGAGATCCCTGTAGGGTACTTGAAGCATTTGTGTGGACCCTCCCAGGACAGTGGCCACTTAGCAGGGAATCACATGGTAGACGTTTGTTTGAGAAGGCTTAGCAGCTTCCCTAGGACAGTTAGGATTGTCTAAGTCCTTACTCCTCTGAGAGCAGGCAGCTAGTTAGAAAAGGAGAGTCTAAAATCTCCCCCTCCTGAAGATCTGCTCAATCAGGATGTGAGTGCCATCAGCATGGCCTGGGAGTAAGGAGCACATTTATGTTGAGAAGTCCCCCTCCTGGAGATCTGCTCAATCAGGATGTGAGTGCCATCAGCGTGGCCTGGGAGTAAGGAGCACATTTATGTTGAGAAGTCCCCCTCCTGGAGATCTGCTCAATCAGGATGTGAGTGCCATCAGCGTGGCCTGGGAGTAAGGAGCACATTTATGTTGAGAAGTCAGGGCACATTATTTCCAGAGGCCTGTTATTTACTGCATGGTAAATCTACAGCAAAATAAGCTGGCTGGGTGGAGAGGATACTTAGCAAGGGGCCAGACAGTGGAAAGCTAGAGAGTAGAGAAAGGTTCTGGTGAGCTTTGAAGACAAAAACATGTAGTTTGTGTTTAGTGTTTCAGGAAGTAGGGAACCGCTATAAATTGTTCAAATAAAATGAAATTATGAAAACTTTAATGAAGACTAATCTGACAGATTTAAAATTGAAATATGTAATTACGATAGTCCAGGTATCTTTAGTAATGTGATGAGAAATTCTACCTGAATTCAGCAGACCCAGTCTGAGGCCTCAGCCTTTAATGACTATTAGTCTTGGGGAAAATATATAAAAAATGTTAGCATCTGTAACTTTATCTGTAAGTGAGCAGAATAAGGTTTGTATCTAATAGGCTTGCAGTGAAATTAAGTAAAAAATCATACTGTGAAAATGCTATGTAAAGTGTAAAATTATGTATAACATATGCATATGTTGATTTTCTGCATACAATAATTTGTCATTGATTGAATGCCTACATCATGTGAACAGAGGCTCACGTTCCATAAGGATGATTTCATGGAACCCTCATGATTACCTTCTGATGTGGTCTTAATAACATGCATGTAAGAATGCACATTCATTAAGTCACTTAGCTGAAGTCACACTGCTAGTGAGAAGCAGCAACAAGGACTGACTCAGAAGTTTGAGTTTGAGGCCTGTGCTCCAAACAAAAGATAATTTTACAGGGTGAATATATGATTATTTGCCTAAGCTGCTGGGATGTGTCATGCTACCTTAGTACAATTAAAGCAAAACAACTGAGAAAACTTACTCTCTTTGGATATACCAAATGTAAGGAAATTCTCCAAACTGTGAACGTTTCTTACATTGCCAATGCTAATTAGCATTTTTTAAAGCTGGTGATCTATGAATACCTGTCATATAGCAATCCTGCAAAATTTTGGGAATAAATGAGAGATGAATGAAAACTGGGCTTTAGCAGGAAACTGTCTTCATCGCATGAGCCTGACTTCAGTCCAGAAGGATTATGCTGAGTCTTGATTAAATCAGAAGTGTTATAATTCCACTTTTGACCAATGGCCAACAGGTATCCTAACTCCGCCAAACAGCCTTTTGTTAAAACACTTAGGGGCTAAACTCTGTGGTTCAAAACCATAAAAAGATTCCCAGTTGTTGATCAGGCAACATAAAGTGGGTTGTCTTTAAGACCTGGGAGGCCGGGCGCGGTGGCTCACGCCTGTAGTCCCAGCCTTTTGGGAGGCCAAGGCAGGTGGATCATGAGGTCAAGATATCGAGACCATCCTGGTCAACATGGTGAAACCCCGTCTCTACTAAAAAAAATTTACAAAAAATTAGCTGGGCACGGTGGTGTGTGCCTGTAATCCCAGCTACTCAGGAGGCTGAGGCAGGAGAATTGCCTGAACCCAGGAGGCGGAGGTTGCGGTGAGCCGAGATCGCGCCATTGCACTCCAGCCTGGGTAACAAGAGCGAAACTCCATCTCAAAAAAAAAAAAAAAAAAAAAGACCTGGGAAGCAGAGTTCACGTCGTAAGTAAGCATCCAGATGTAACAGAAGGAGCTATAAACCTTTTCTGTTTTGGTCTCCTGAGTATGAATCTTTTTATGATGGGGCTTCCTCTTTGTTTGTAGAATCATTTTTCCCTTTTAACCCATCAGAAAAATGTCATTTCGTTCTGTGCTCACCCTAAATAAGAATTTTAAGGAAGCTGAACACTGGGCACATTACAGTGAGCAGAAGAGAAATTAAGGTTTGTGATCATGAACAAATGATTATCAGAGTGAAATCTGAGAAAAAATGACAAGGAAGCTGTATTGGAACATCATGAGATATACACAGGAAAGAAAGGGATGAGCCTCTGGCATTTGCTGTACGCAGAAAATTGAGATGAGCACTTTCCACATGCCAACAGTCTTCCCACGAACCTGTTGCTTCCACAGAGCCAAAGATTATCACTCATGATTTTAAATGCTTTGCCCCAAACGATGCCTAGATATCTATGGTTTCTGTTTTCCTTCTACTGCAAATAGATTATTGTAGTATGCCATACATACACTTGCACACATACACACAAGCACGGGTTTTTTGTTTTTTTGAGACAGGGTCTTGCTCTGTCACCCAGTCTGGAGTGGACTGGCACAATCTCAGCTCACTGCATCTCCACCTGCTGGGCTTAAGCAATCCATCCACCCCAGTCTCCTGAATAGCTGGGACAACAAGTGTGTGCCACCATGCGCCTGGCTAAGTTTTGTATTTTTGATGATAAAGACAGGGTTTTACCATGTTGCCCAGGCTGGTATGGAACTCCTGGACTCAAGCAATCCTCCCGTCTTGGCCTTCCAACATCCTAAAATTACAGCTGTGAGCCACTGTGCCCAGCCCACATGTATTTTTGATGGTTGCAGTAACTGATCATATATTTAAACATGAAAATTTTAGACCCTGGAATCTCCAGGAATTTGAATTTTATTGGCAATACATTTTCTTTTACTTCTCTGGTAATTTCCCATTGTGTTTAACATTTTGACAAAGAAGAAAGAACTAAAACACCAAACCAAGGAACTCCAACAATACTAGAAATAACCTGTTCTTTTGCAGAAATGAAAATAGTCTCAGTTGGGAGTCAGTAAGATTTGCTCTCTGGCCAGAGGTTTTACTAATTCATTGTGTCACCTTAGATTAGTCATATGTGTTAAATGTAGAATTATACAGCTCCATCATATTACACAGAAATTCTCATTAGAATGGGGGGTGGAGTTTGAATTATCTAAATTTAAATTCGTGGTATAAGCAATATCATTCTTACTGAATGAGTAAAAGAAGGCTCTTTAGTTACTGTCGAACTTTTCTCTAACGAGTACACCTGAACTGGGCAGTGATGGTGGAAATCACTGCCTGACTTGGTTTCATGATGGTCACATGAAGTCACTTGAGAATTTTCCCCTTCACCATAGTAGACGCATCTGGGTCAGATATAGTAAATTTCAAAAGAAAGTGTTTTCACAGAATTCTCCCCACATCTTGTTCTGCAGAAAACCTCTTCTGCATGCATGCCTCTTTCTTGCACACTCCTTCCCATGAAAGCGATCACATCCCCGCTGGACGGTGCCTTCTGCACTGGCAATCTTCTGCGAGAGCCTCCTGTATCAGTTCCGTATGCCCTGTTTCTTGATGACAGACATTCCTGGGACTTCAAGGAAAATGAGTTGGGGAAGGGGAGAGGAGCAAAAAAAGGGGAAGGATTTTGAGAGCTGAGGCGGCGATGGCTTACTGTAATGCGGATTCTCAGGAATTTCAGCACCAAAGAGTCAATGCTGCCATAAACGTTGTGCTGATGAAGATGTGATTTCATCCTGGCCCTTTCTTTCCAGTATGACATGAAGCTGAGTGTGTGATGCTGTGCTCCTTTGGCCATACCCTCTGATAAAATATGTCAGACTGCAGTTAAGCTGCATGAGAGGGGCCAGCCTTACCTTCCAGAAAAACAGTCATGAACATGTTTTATTATGACCCATTTTCCACTGTTTCTCATTAACCTTTAGCATCCTTAGGATTTCGAAAATGTGTATACTTAACCCATGCCCTAGAAATATAATTTGTATCACGCAGAGTGGCTCACGCCTATAATCTTAGCACTTTGGGAGGCTAAGATGGGTGCATCAACTGAGATTGGGCGTTGGCAACCAGCCTGGCCAACATAATGAAACCCCATCTCTACTAAAAATACAAAAATAGATGGCATGGTGGTGCATGCCTGTAGTTTCAGCTACTCAGGAGGCTGAGGCGTGAGAATCACTTTAATCCGAGAGACAGAGGTTGCAGTGAGCTGTTATTGAGTCATTGCACTCCCGCCTGAGCTACAGAGTGAGACAACATCTCCAGAAAAAAAGCAATACAATTCAGTTTTACATGTATTTAAAATGAAAAATACAATAATGATTAACAGCAATTGATAATTTTAAGAAATAGAAAGTAATGTCTATAAGAATAAGCCTGCATTTGTTTCGTTTCTTTTCAGCGGTGTCCTGTGGAATTCCAGAATCCCCTGGAAATGGTTCATTTACCGGTAACGAGTTCACTTTGGACAGTAAAGTGGTGTATGAGTGTCACGAGGGCTTCGAGCTTGAATCCAGCCAGCAAGCGACAGCCGTGTGTCAAGACGATGGGCTGTGGAGTAACAAGGGGAAGCCGCCCACTTGTAAGCGTAAGTGTTCCACGGGCATCTGCCCATCTTTGTGGGTTTAGGTGGGAACTGAATCCTCTGGGGAGAAGTCCAGGTTCCCACATTCAGAGGTTCTCTCCCACATCATGTGAGGATTACTAAAACCAATGTATTTCGTATAAAATATTCCAGCCATTTAAAATGATTTATACGCTCTTAAAAGGTAGGTGAATCCTAAACGTCAACAGTATAGACACGATGTGATTTGCACAGCACATCCTGTTCTATGCTGCCATTTTCAATTTGGAGGGATGAAATCTAGAGGAAATTCAGACGTTAAGCTCTGCAATCATACTCTACACAAGATGTTAAAACATAATTCAACACAAGCTTACCTATTTATCTTCCAGCTAATTTTAAGTTATTCAAAGTGAAAAGCAGTGCCTAATTTATTTGTGTGTCACCTACTCTGCATACCACATTGATGCTCAGTAAATAAAGCATTTATTTAATTTGCGAAGTAAGGTAAGTTTTTGAGAAAGCTATTTACGGTATATAGTAATAATCTTAAAAGAGTAAAAAATTTGGGTACTTTCTGAAACTCTAGTCTTACCAAATAATAGTCTATAATGCAAAGCCAACCAGAAGAAAAATTCCATTCACTCACACACACAGTTTCTACAGCCAGATCTTCACTGCAGGTGTATTAAAACTAGCCTCAAATTGGAAATAATGTAATTTTGCACTTTTTCTAAGTGAAAAACTGTATAATATTTCTATGTAGACAATGATTTTTATGGTTATGTAATCTGTTTCATATATCATGCATATCTTTTCATGTCAGTACATATAGAATGAAAAATCTTGCTATAGAAATTGTGTGTGTGTGTGATTTTTCATTGCAGGTATATTAAACTAGTCAAATTAGTTCACTTGGAATAATTACCTCCAGCTTTATCCACATGGTAAAGGACATAATCTCACTATTTTTATGGCTGCCCAATATTCCATGATATGTAGGCGTATTTTCTGTATCCAGTCCACCATTGATGGGCATTTGAACATACATATGAACATACATACACATGTGTCTTTATGGTAGAACAGTTTGTGTTCTTTGGATATATACCCAATAATGGGATTCTGGGTTCAATAACAGGGACTATTTTTTTTAGCGCTTTGAGAAATCACCAAACTGCTTTCCACAGTGACAGAACTAATTTACACTCCCACCAGCAGCATATAAAAGTGTTCCCTTTTCTCCACTACCTCACTGGCATGCCTATTTTTTCACTTATTTACAATGGTATTTTTGCTCCAGTGATACTAGCAGAAGGATTCACATAGTCTTCAATAAAAAAATCAGATCATTGGGTTCTTTTTGTGTACAGTATTTTGTTCATGTTAAAAATTTTAAACTTACTTGTATCTATATACTTATATATAAATAGATAAACGATTATGGAAGGTAGTTTAGTTCTCCCCAATAGCTTTTATTTTTCTTGCTATTATTTTCATCATTTTTATTGCACCTCCTGAAAGTCTGGCAATACTGAATCAACATTAGTATTTCTTGGTTTTTTCTATTTAATAAGGTACTGTTAGAATTAAATAACAGTATGGGAAGCTAGGATAGCAAGATACATTGCTATGTTTTTTGAGTTCAACCCTAAACAAAATTATTCCCTCAAAACTGGAACTTAAGAGATGACAATAACATGTTTGGGGTTGATTTCAACAGGAACGATGTCCCAGACATTTATGTGCAATCTGTCTTTTGCACACAGCCTGGAGGTCATTCATAATCATGGCCACCATCTTTATAGTTTGTATTTTCTGCCAAATATTTCAAGTAGCTTATCTACAAATCTCGTAAATCCCTGAAAAACTGGGCCACAAATGAGGTGAAAAGTACTAATCTGCAGAGTTGAAGTCCAAAGTCCACTCTCTCTTGTTCTAAATTCTGTACCCGTTTCATCATGCCAGTGATTCTCTACTGGTTATGCCTTCAGATCGTCTTGAGAAATTTAAAGTAAAGACTAATGTCTAGGTTTGACCCTCAGGGATTCTGAGTCAGCTGGTCTTGGGTGGAGACCAACCATCAGTGTTTTTTTTTTTAAGTTATCTGGATGTTATGCATAAAATGTCAAGTATGTGGCATGTTTTAAAGGGACAAAGCTACCCAAGGAAGGAACATGCAGCAATCTCTGCTATTGTGCTGGTGATTCCCAGGCAAGCAGGATCTGGCGTGGACCTCCAGCAAACTCCAGCAGACGTGCAGCAGAGGGCCTTGACTGTTAGAAGGAAAATTAACAAACAGAAAGAAATAGTTTCAGCATCAACATTAAGGACGTCCACTCAGAGACCCCATCCAAAGGTCACCAACTTCAAAGACCAAGGTAGATAAATCCACAAATATGGGAAAAAACATACAAAAAGGCTGAAAACTCCAAAAACGAGAACATCTCTTCTCTTCCAAGGGATCACAATGCCTCACCAGCAAGGCAACAAAGCCGGACAAAGAATGAGTTTGATGAATTGGCGGAAAAAGGTCTCAGCATGTCATGAATAACCAACTTCTCTGAGCAAAAGGAGCATGTTCTAACCAAATGCAGGAAAGCTAAGAACCTTGCAAAAAGGTTAGATGAAATGGTACCTAGAATAACCACTGTAGAGAACATAAATGACCTGATGAAGCTCAAAAACAAAGCATGAGAACTTCATGAAGCAAACACAAGTTTCAGTACCCAAATCAATCAAGTAGAAAAAAGGGTATCAGAGATTGAAGATCAACTCAAGGAAACAACACAAGATTACAAGATAGGGAAAAAGGAGTAAAGAGAAATGAATAAAACCTTCAAGAAGAATGGGATTATGTTTAATTGTTGTACCTGAAAGTGATGAAACTAAGTTGGAAAACACTCTTCAGAATATTATCCAAGAGAACTTACCCAACATAACAAGGCAGGCCAACATTTAAACTGAGGAAATACAGAGACCACCACAAAGATAATCCTTGAGAAGAGCAGCCCTAAGACACATGGTCATCAGATTCACCAGGGTTGAAATTAAGGAAAAAATGCTAAGGGAAGCCAAAGAGAAAGGTTGGGTTACCCACAAAGGGAAGCCCATCAGACTCACAGTGGATCTCTCAGCAGAAACCCTGCAAGCCAGAAGAGAGTAGGGGCCAATATTCAACATCCTTAAAGAAAAGAATTTTCAACCCAGAATTTCATATCCAGCCAAACTAAGCTTCATGAGCTGAAGAAAAATAAAATCCTTTATGGACAAGCAACGGCTGAGAGATTTTTGTCACCACCAGGCCTGCCTTATAACAGCTCCTGAAGGAAGCACTAAGCGTGGAAAGGAACAACCAGTACCAGCCACTGCAAAAACATACCAAATTGTAAAGAACATTATGAAGAAACTGCATAACAAAAAGGCAAAACATCCAGCTAGCATCATAATGGCAGGATCAAATTCACACATAGCAATATTAACCTTAAATGTAAATGGGCTAAATGCCCCAATTAAAAGACACAGACTGGCAAATTGGATCAAGAGTCAAGACCCATTATTGTGCTGTATTCAGGAGACCAATCTCTACGTGCAAAGACACACATAGGCTCAAAATAAAGGAATGGAGGAAGATTTACCAGGCAAATGAAAAGCAAAAAAAAGCAGGGGTTGCAATCCTAGTCTCTGACAAAACAGACTTTAAACCAACAAAATCAAAAGAGGCAAAGAAGGGCATTAGATAAGAATAAAGGGATCACTGCAACAAGAAAAGCTAACTATCCTAAATATATATGCACACAATGCAGGAGCACACAGATTCATAAAGCAAATTCTTAAAGATCTATGAAGAGATTTAGACTTCCCACAAAATGATACTGGGAGACTTTAACACCCCACTGTCAATATTACACAGATCAATCAACAAGACAGAAAACTAACAAGGATATCTAGGACTTGAACTCAGATCTGGACCAAGCAGACCTAATAGACATCTACAAAACCTTCCACCCTGAATCCAGAGAATATACATTATTCTAAGCACCACATCACACTTATTCTAAAACTGACTACCTAATTGGAGGTAAAACACTCTTCAGCAAATACAAAAGAACAGAAATCAGAACAGTCTGTCAGACCTCAGTGCAATCAAATTAGAACTCAGTATTAAGAAACTCACTCAAAACCACAGAACTACATGGGAAGTTGAACAACCTGCTCCTGAATGACTACTGGATAAATAATGAAATGAAGGCAAAAATAAAGATGTTCTTTAAAACCAGTGAGAATTAAGACACAATGTACCAAGATCTCTGGGACACATTTAAAGCAGTGTCTAGAGGGAAAATTTATAGCACTAAATGCCCACAAGAGAAATGAGGGAAGATCTAAAATTGATACCCTAACATCACAATTAAAAGCACTAGAGGAGCAAGAACAAACAAATTCAAAAGCTAGCAGAAGACAAGAAATAGCTACTCTCAGAGCAGAACTAAAGAAGATAGAGACACAAAAAATCCTTCAAAAACATCAATGAATCCAGGAGCAGGACTTTAAAAAAAAAAAAAAAAAAAGATTGACACAATAGATAGACCACTGGTCAGAGTAATAAATAAGAAAAGAGAGAAGAATCAAATAGATGCAATAAAAAATGATAAAAGGGATATCACCACCAATCCTACAGAAATATAAACTACTGTCAGAGAATACTATAAACACCTCTGTGCAAATAAACTCGAAAATCTAGAAAAAAATGAATAGACTTTAGGACACTTATATCCTCCCAAGACTAAACCAGGAAGAAGTTTAATCCCTGAGTAGACCAATAACAAGGTCTAAAATTGGGGCAGCAATTAATAGCTTGCCAATCAAAAAAAGTTCAGGACCAGTTTCACAGCCAAATTCTACCAGAGGTACAAAGAGGAGTGGCTACCAATTCTTCTGAAACTATTTCCAACAATAGAAAAAGAGGGACTCTTCTCTAACTCATTTTATGAGAACAGCATCATCCTGACACCAAAATTTGG